AAACAATTGCGAAGTGTTGAAAGAAAATTCTTGAAGTTGGTTACAGGGGCAAATAACTCCACAAGTGATAGGGTATATGTTAGTAGTATTCGGCGGCTAAAATTTTCAGCTTAAGTTAGTATATTGGTATAAATCTAAATCCATGTTAAAGCATCTATTTTCATAATTAGGTATCCATTATGCTGTCCCCGCAGGTGTCAATACGGATCTCGCTATCTAAGGTAGCCATGATCCAAGCAGTATTATATCACGAATGCTCAATTCTTCCACTAGACACCAACCTCAATCATAGGAGGGCTCAACTCATTGGACTTTCAGGGCAGCCTATCAAGAGAACAACTCTAACCGCATGCAATAAAATACTGCAGAGCGATAGTGGGACCCATTTTAGCCGCAACAAGAATGATGCCAATATACTAGCGAGTATACTAGAATCTGACACGACAAAAAGGCGAAGAAAAAATAAAAAGAAGCTTATATGATAGCAGCATTCCGAGAGTTGGAAAGCACATGAAAACGTGTCAAGAAAGAGCAATAATCTTATCGGTCGACGGCAGATCCAGAACTTTTGGAAACAGCATATATCGTCAAAGACAGGTCATCAGGTAAGAAAAGATTCATCGATAGATATTTTTATTTATTTAAATTTAATATTTTACGGGGTGCCCAGGCACAGCACATGAGCTTTTAACGTACCAGTAAGTCCAGTCTAATGAAGGCAAAGACTGAACACCTGTATACTGTGTCCTCTTCGAACCTGGGAGTGAAATATTCTCCCAGAGCTAAGTTTTGTCCAATTTCCATATTCCGATGAAGTTGGCCCACGAGGCAATAATCTAAAACTCTCTACGAAATCAAACTCTCCCACCCAACGAGATATATCTCCGCAGAAACCTCATTAAGTTTACAAGTACGACCTAGTACATCCTCATCCCAATGACCACACCTCTCTTCGACCTTCTCTGGCCTCAGCTGGTCGCCAGATACACGCCCACGCCGATATTCACACCCGCTCGAGGAAACAAAGCTTGGCGCAGAAATTTGGTCGACAGTTCTATGGGATGGACGTGAGAGGGATCAGGACAAGTTTATAAGATGACACAGAGGATGGATACATTCTTGACGGGCGTGAAATTTCGAATTTTGGCAAAGAGTTTTTACAAATTGAGCTCTGTGCGCGCCAGAACTTCGATTTCGAATGTGCAGCTGCCACTATAAACGCAAGCCAACGATGGCAGGTGTTGTGGTCCGCCTCCTGGTGGTGTTCTCCGGTATAGTTTGAGTAGCCTGGGTACCTACTCCACTTGGAAAGGAGACACCAAAGACCACATTTCGCACAGATAAAAGTCAATGGATCATGGAGGCATACCTGCATAATCCAGGGTTTTTGTGATATTCCTCTGAGTGGGTATTCACGTATGACGGTTGACTTGGTGTTAGACTCTACGAGTCAATTGAATAATGCAACAAGTAAAAAGTGAAAAGTGTCAATTAATTCCTGGCTGCTATTTCTCTTTCTGTTACTATCTAGATTATTGTTACGGATCAGGTATAAAAGCAATGAGAATTTGTATAGAAGATAGTAGTTTATATTTCGACTGATGGCGAGCTATCTAGGGAGTCGGACATGTATTTATACATTCCTTTTCATACTATCCTCGGCCTTCATCCCAGGAATAATCACGGCTTACTCATCTAGATCCTTCTAGTAACTTCTCGTCTCGTCCCTGGAAGGATCTTTCTTCATTGCTAGAAGATTCCCGCTCTTTCTAGGAGAAGCTCAATCAACTCTGCCCTAGTCTCGAATGTTCCACCAGAAAAATATGCCAGGTAAGCATATCTAAGAATCTACAAGAATATTCCTGATCATACCTCACAGGAGCCAAGAACTGTCTGCGCTAGCCAGCGTAGACTACAGGCATTACCCGGTTTACTAACCGTCACAATTTTGTACGTCCAGAAAATAGCAAATGTTCTATGTGTCCCCAACTTGTCCCCATAGACCTAGTTTCTCATGGTTTGGAACGAAACATCTATAGTCAGAACATATAGAGTTCTTATTGCTACAGCCCAAGCGAAACACCTCTGTACGAAACAAGAAACTCCAAGCTTTGTGAACCTAACACCTTAAACTTTATATCTGACATTAATCGCTTCCAAACAATCCACAGTTTGTCAGAAATTGTCAAGGATTTCTAGGAGGAAATATCTCGAAGAACAAGTGTACAATTTCGGACAAGATTTTATTGATAGTTGTATATGATATCGAACTCTTTTCTCAATATGGATTAATAATATATTATACTCCGTTAACTTAATTTGAAATATACAAATAAGTCTATCCTTAAATATAGATCCCCGAGGCTTTAGTGATCCCAAACTCCAAGTGATCTAGCAACAACCAGCCACTTAATTATCGCAAGGTAGCATTTCCTAGCCACTACATTTCATTTAACACTAAGCCTTATGTCTCCCAGCTAAGCTTAACCATATGCAATTGGATCAATTGAATTGATCTTGATAATCATACTTTATAATCTAAATCTTCAGATATACTAAGTCTAGATTTCCAACACAGTTTGATACTTGGGGTGGAGAAAAAGCTTGCATAACTTCGCAGTGATACTTGTATATGAAATCCGAGACATGGATGTTCTTCTTGTATATTGAGTCGTCGTTTGTGTCATCTATTGAGTACTTTTTATCAAATATCGTGACTAACTAAATTGCTGCAAACACAGTTTTTTCTGATAAAAAATCAATATAAAGAGGCGAGAAAGCTTGAGGTCTAGTGGAAATATTAGTGTGGTGATTCGACGAGATAAGCTGCCTAATGATGGGAAAGTGGAGAATCGTGATTAGATAACGATCGATATAAACTGGGATTGAATGCCATTCTGATTAATTACGAGAAACTAAAACTAGGATTGAGTGGCAGATAATATTTTGGTAAATACGTATTTAACATTGGTGCAATTGTATCTTCATGACAGAGACTGAATAAAAGTCCTAGAGTGCTTCAAATGTATTCCAAAGGAGATCCATTTCTGTGCATATGAAATCAAAAACATCACATGCCTTGATGTGAGCTTGGACGAGATGAAGGGAAAGCACGAGACGAGTTTACCCACTTCGAAAGGCAAATTAATCAGGATTAGTAGGGCAGAGAGGATCACCAAAATATTCTTCTGGCCCTTCCAACTATCATTGAACTACTGCTAGTGTTATGAACATGATCCACTATCACAACAAATGGATCAGTGATGCTGATCACAAATTAATTAAGATAGATTTAGGACGCTTCTTAGTTTGTGCTTGGAATTAATCGTTCAACATGTAGAATGAAACGATAAGCTTAGATCTCTTGTCATATTTCTATTAACAACTACTTCTCATCTAGTTCCCAGATTCCAAGCTTTGACCTGAAGTCAAGTGGAGCAGATAGCGATCGTTGTAAAGAGATGGCTTGTGGATTTAATCGCAGAATTGATTTCACGGCACAAACTGCGCAATTCAGACCTCACATCAAATCGAAAAAAACCCGAATTTCTCGCAAATGCTACCACGAATACCGTAGAATCAGTTGTGTCTCAAATATGCTAGTGTTCATCATTCATTTTCCACCCCATCCTATTTACGGTGCGAGATATTTGTAGGATAGTTACTATTGATAGATAGCTTGTCATTACTAGATGCTTTATTTTCGGGGAAATCGAACTATTTTTACATGAGCATTGTTTTAGCTAGTCCTCGCGTGATTTCAACTGTGAAGAAATACAAGTCCACCTACTCATTTTCAAGATTGCAAGAGATGGAGAGTGGCTTTGATCCTACCAACGCTTCAGTCATGTTCCTGACTGCCCTATCTACCCTGAAATAAACTCAGCAGTACCTCCTGCCACTTTACAGAGGTAGTCGAACTAATGCGGTATCTCCTGATATCATGATGTCAGACAATAAGTCCCAACAATGAAAGCGAATTGGACTTTCCTCAACTGTTTTCTCACATGATTATTTTGACCACGGCCCCATAGATAAAAAGGCAGATCAGGTCTTTTTCAGATCCATATTCATATTACTCCAATCATAAGATGGCCTATTCAAGAGTTTATTTTGATGCGAGACCCAAACTGGCACGATCAACAACTTTGCTCCACAATTTTGCAGCACTGAATAATTTTGGATGAGATGTTCGCCATAAAATACTAAGCTATGAATATCAAAGTAGCAATTTAATCCTCTTTGAAATGAGCCAGCCGAGATCAGGTTAGTAATGACTGTCATTTGTATCCACTCAACGATGTTAATGAACAATAGATGAGTCTAGTGCAATGCACGCCACTTTCTCATTGGTGTGAAGTCCCTCTACTTCATCGCACTGATGTCTTATTGCTCTCAACATATGACAAGAGCTCTGATGACGCTTTGTCGCATTCGACAAAGTATTCGTTTCTCATGCCAAAGGTCGATCTTCGAGTTTTTGGATACTCCTAGTTGGGCGAGATAGCCAGTTCGACCAACTTCAGAGAGAGAGAGGCTTGTGAATCAATCCCTCTATAAAAAGAGTTCTCCCAATTGAATGGAGTTCAATCAATCAATTCGATTAAATCATCTTATCCAGTTCGACTTGCCTTAACATCAATAAAATCAAAGAAAGGCACTTTTTGGTGAGAAATCTCATACGACATTCGTATTTCGCTGTCAAAAGTCATCTGTTTTGGAAAACCTGGTTTAAGCACTTATCTTGCCAAATATCCAAACTTTTTCGACTATATTACGATTTTCCCCCTAGATCGACAATGGGTAGGTTACAACGTCTTATTCTAGTTTGCCATTCATTTAACCATCGAATAGATTCTACTGTGCCTGTCGTTATTGCTGTCGATAGCCACACAGAAAACATGAACGCCGATGAGGCCCATACCGGAGCAAATCGTCAAGATGATCTTACGACTAGCCAAGCCATTCGTCTTTACCGGCCGGCTATATTTTGGTCAATCATGGTATCCATGTGCATCGTAATGGAAGGTTACGACGCTATTCTAATCCACAATTTCTTCGCCTACCCGGCTTTTGCTCAGAAGTACGGCCACTATGACGAGGTCACGGCCACATTCCAATTGTCGGCGACCTGGCAAGTGGCATTGGGCAATGCCGTGGGTGTGGGCTCATTCTTGGGTACCATAGCGAATGGATATCTTGTGCCTTGGTTTGGGCCGAAGAAGATAATTTTGGGCGCGCTCTTGGTGTTGGCTGGATTTATCGCCATCACATTCGTAGCCCCGAATATCTGGGTGCTCTGTGTCGGCGAGTTTCTTTGTGGGCTTCCTTGGGGCGTGTTTGCAAGCGTGGCGCCGGCCTATGCATCCGAGGTCTTGCCACTATGTCTAAGGGTTTATCTGACAACCTTTACCAACATGTGCTTTATCCTTGGCCAATTGGTTGCAGCCGGCGTCTTGCAGGGGCTACTCACCATCGATGGATCATGGTCATACCGCGCCGCTTTCGCTCTTCAATGGTTATGGCCGATAATTCTGCTTCCAGTACTATATTTTATGCCTGAGTCACCTTGGCATTTGGTACGGACTGGTCGACTTGAAGCAGCCGAAAGATCCCTTGCTCGACTCCAATCGAAACATGCAACTTCTGACGTCAAGGAAACATTAACGATGATTGTTTCCATCAATATTGCCGAGGGTAAGGTATCTAGGGGTACATCCTACTTGGATTGCTTCCGTGGAACTGAACGTCGACGGACAGAAGTTGCATGCATGGCTTTTGTTGGGCAAGTGCTGTCGGGGACATCGTTTGCATACAATTCCACCTACTTCTTCCAGCAAATCGGACTTCGGACATCCGATGCTTACAAGCTGAATGTGGGTGGAATAGGCATTGCATTACTTGGGACCATCACTTCCTGGTTTTGTATCATGCCGTATGTCGGACGACGTCGTATGTATCTTTTTGGCATGGTCACATTATCGACCATTCTACTTTTAGTTGGCCTTCTTGCTATAAAAGACTCGAGTAGCACGATAGTTATCGGACAAACAGCCTTGATTCTCCTGTGGACATTCATCTTTCAACTGTCTATTGGTCAACTTGGCTGGGCAATTCCGGCGGAAATTGGCTCGACGCGTCTTCGGCAAAAAACCATTTGCCTGGCGCGAACCTCTTACTATCTCGTCGACACTCTCGCCAAAACCATTGAGCCCTACTTGATGAATCCAACCAAGTGGAATCTCAAGGGCTATACAGGGCTTCTCTGGGCTGGAACGGCACTCATCGCTGCAACCTGGACCTTTTTTCGGTTACCCGAAACCAAGGGTCGCAGCTTTGAGGAGCTCGAAATACTATTCGAGCGAGATGTTCCGACGAGAGAGTTTGCCTCGTATAAAATCGAGAGGCCGGTAGCGAGAGGCGAGTCTGAGCTGGATAATCGATAACTATCGTGTCGATCAAGAAGAGCTTTTGGAGCGAAGTAGAAGGTAGAAGGTAGACATGAGATGCCGAAGAGCATGGTCTTTTTGAAGAATATGACTAGCCAATGAGGAAAATTATTTATCCCATAGAGGTATGATGTTTTGTCTGGACTGAACTAAATCAAATGCTAATCGAAGTAAGGGTTAAACAGAATGATCATTTGGTGCAACTGTTATCGAGTTTGAAGTAATTTGAGTGCAAATTTTGCGTCGCAGCATTTTTGTTAATATTTGATGCGGTCACGGGTAAGTATTAGATCGTTATCCGAGTTGGTATCGGCGTTGTGATTGATACTTGATGTCGAATATTCTGCATGTATCAAATTCTGGATTTATATTGCATAATGAAACAAGTCCTAAGGTTAAATGACGTTGACATTGTGAGTAATTGTTGTTTGATGAGGGTCTGTTACAGTCCCAAAGAAATATATTATATGAAGCTCTTTATGTCAGTTAAATATTATATGATTGGTAAGAGATGTGCTTTTGAAGCGAATCCCTCAACTGACCTAGCTATAGGGAGAAATCTCAAGAGATGTCAGCATGATCTCCTATAAATCCCTTCATCTCACTTTGGGGTCAGTAGAGTTGAAATCGAGTACTATTTCCGTCGCCAATTTGATTACTATCCTCAAGCACTATCGTGGTATTTATTCTCAACTACCGGCATAATCTGAGTCCCGACATCTTGGAGCTGACAATGATCGGATTAGATGATAGGGTGGAAGCTTTGCTAATAATTTGTCAACTTTTCTTGCTCATGAATGAGAAGCTATCAATTGAGTTTTTGGAGTTTAAACATCTCCCGATAATTCCGTGGTATTTTGGGTCAAGTAGCGAAATCGATAGAATGGAAACTATTAAAAGAATATAGTATATCTTCTGGATAGGGTTATAGGTATTTTGGTAATTAATTCTAGATTTTCACTTTTAGTTTTGACGATAGTTTTTCTTTTTTAGGTAGGTTGTTAAGAAATGAATGTTGGATGCGACGGGTGTTTTTATTGTTGTTCACTATGTAGCACATTTGACTCCTCTTTCATACAGGCTACACCTTGTACAGTGTTCCTAACCTCTTTTTTTACTTTGAAGATCATTGATATATTGCCAGTGACGAGTAGACATTCAGCTCGGTGTTTAGCCATAGAATTCAGCCACCTATTCCACGGGAACTTCTTCCCATTAAAAATAAAAATGGTAGCAATGGAAACTGCGTGCACGGGAAAAAGTCTCCAAAAGCTCGCAGCTCCAGCCAGGCAAAGCCTAGACACCGGGTCCTAATAAGATACGCAAAGCCATTTATATCTCCCTTGTAAAATTGGAAGCTAACTTGACCCTATCCACCATCGCCGTATTGGGTGCTGGGCATGCTCCGGGAACTCATCGCAGGGCTTCTCTATGATTAAGGGTTGGTGATGAGAAGGGCTTCAAACCTACCATCCAATCTGAATGTATGAATAATTATTCATGGCTTGCATAAGCCCAGTACTCACAGAGCGTGACACGGATATGACTAGTCCTTCCCTGACGACGATAAACGACGATAACTTAGTTCGTAATTTTGATCACTCATTTAGTAGGTGCATTTGCTGATACGACTCGAGACATCTTTGCTAGGGATTTTCGCCGCTCTATTTTTTTGTTTTGTCCATTTACCTACTAGTTATATGTCATCCATCACACTCCTATTGAAGCTTGAGCTCGAGTAGGGTCGGGCCGGATCAGGTTAACTAGTGTAAAGTACAGATAAACCTCGTCCCACTTAAATGACCGGACCACATTAGATTTCACCCATGTGTTGAATCATACCAAGCTTGACTGTCCAGAAACCCGCTGTATAAACGCCGTAGCTCAAATTCCTCCTCAACCTCGGCCACCACGCGCCCGAGCCCTTGACATTTTCATTGACTCCGAAACATAATTGTCTTCCCAGATCTCATCGTTGCTCCAGCCTTGCACTTTCATATCGTACCATTGGGTTGTTATCTTCATTGGTGATTTGTGTAATCCCCTCGTTGTATATTCCCTTTTATTTCCCTCTTTTGTACACGTCCTGTTTCTATCATGACTTTCCTCATTAGGGCGTGTGTAGGTAGGTGATGTGACAAGTTTAAAGATGGGTCGCAGGTGTAGGATCGACTGAGAAATGCTTCGTCGCAATTATATGGGGAGTTTGAGAGATATTATTTGTTTGAATACGACCCCCAGATAGACATAGGCTCATTCGTGAATGATATGTTAGTGGTGATGAGTTTTTGTTCGACTTTCTTGAGGTTGTCAAGTCTCTGCCGACTGATTTTTCGACCAAAGTTCCGCATGCGATGCCTTCAAGCTGAAAATCCATCAGAAAAATTCACTCCACCCCTTCTAGTGAGTTAATCTCGTCTCTGGGAGAATATTTCACTCCCAGGTTCGTAGAAGGCACCACGTATAGGTGTTCAATATTCGCGCTCCTTCGCCAAAGTGTCGTGGTTTGCCAAGGGTTTGTCAAGAGCTTGCTTAGTAAATTGGCCAAACCATGTACACATAGATTACAGAATCTACGTATCCGAAGATATAGAAACTGAGTCTGCACATTATGAGGGCAAGGCTGAACACCTGCAAGTGGTGCCTTCTACGAACCTGGGAGTGAAATATTCTCCTGTAGACAAGTTCGGTCATATGTCGTAATATGAACCAAATTGGCCCACGAGAAAATGATTCAAAATACTCCTCAACGTCAAGTGTCCACATCCAGCGAGATCAAATTCTGAATAGGCCCCATCAAGCCTATAGGTACGACCAAGTACATCCTCATTCTAATGACTGCACCTCTCTTCGACTTTCTCAGGCCTCAGCTCGTCACCAAATATATGCCCACGCCGATATTCATACTCGAAGGAGGAAGCAAAGCCTGGTGCACAAATCTGGGTGTCAATTTTTAGGATGGAAGTGAGAGGGATCAGGGCAAGTTGACAAGATGATGCAAAGGGTGAGAAACTATGACTCTCGAATTTAGGACTCAACCATCATCTGTTTCGTCTCAGGTTCCCGACAAGATCGACTCTCTCTACACATGTCCCGAGTCTGCTAATCGCGCCTACCGTTGCATATACGTTTGGATATTTACGGACTACAGTGTATCTTGGCTCATCATGGTAGATGAGAGGTGGCTGGTCATCACTAGGTTTGACAGGCACATGAGACTAGCCAGGAGGGCATGACTGAACACCTGTACATGGTGCCTTCTACGAACCTAGAAGTGAAATATTCTCCCAGAGCCAAGTTCAGACAAATTTCGCAATATCAAAGAAGTTGGCCCACGAGGCAATGATTCAAAGTACTCCTCCACGTCGTTTTTTCGCTCCCGACGAGTTTCACTCCCAACTAAGTCTTATAAAGTCTACGGTACGACCAAGTACATCTTCATCCCAATGATCACACCTCTCTTCGACCTTCTCTGGCCTCAGCTGGTCGCCAGATACACGCCCACGCCGATATTTACACCCGCTCGAGGAAACAAAGCTTGGCGCAGAAATTTGGTCGACAGTTCTATGGGATGGACGTGAGAGGGATCAGGACAAGTTTATAAGATGACACAGAGGATGGATACATTCTTGACGGGCGTGAAATTTCGAATTTTGGCAAAGAGTTTTTACAAATTGAGCTTTGTGCGCGCCAGAACTTCGATTTCGAATGTGCAGCTGCCACTATAAACGCAAGCCAACGATGGAAGGTGTTGTGGTCCGCCTCCTGGTGGTGTTCTCCGGTATAGTTTGAATAGCCTGGGTACCTACTCCACTTGGGAAGGAGACGCCTAAGACCATATTTCGCGCGGAGAAAAGTTGAAAGATGATGGAGGCATGTCTGGATATCTCATGGTTTTTGAGACGTTCCACTGGGTGAGTATTCACGGATGAGGGCTGACTTGGGGTGAAGAAAAAGCCACCATAACTTCGCAGTGGTACTTGCAAATGAAATCCGAGGCATGAGTGCTCTTCCTTTACGTTGAATCATCTATTCTGTACTTTTCTTTGATATTGTGTCATAGCTAGATAGCTGCATACGCAATTAAAATCTGATACAAAAAAAAGAGACTAGCGAGAATTTCTCCCTTAGATGTATATATAAGTCCAATGTTTCCATAGTTGTAAAATATCAATTCTTCTTAACATCATCATGTATATTGTTACAGGATCTAGTGCACAAACTCCTGCCGTACACTGTGTGCGGCCCATGTATAATGATGTCCTTAGAGACCGCTTAGTCATACCCCTGCAAAAATATATTTCCTTTCCATACGCTCTTATTCCGCATTGTAGTTGTTCATGCGTTATCATCACTATAGGAAATCAAAATAAACTTCGTATATTTCGTTCGATCGATTAGATCACGATCACATTCCGTGACATATATCCATATAATATCGTACAGAGGATTGTCGGAACGACTAACTCTGTTGAGCCTATTTTGGGTTTGAAATTGGTAGTCCCTGCATGATGTTTAAAGATTTTTCTTTATGATTCCCTTGTATCGGGTAAACTATTATCCGGGATATATACCAACTTCGTAGCTATAGTTCAGGGGAGAGATCTACATAATCAATCGAACCCAATCGAATAATTGTTCTCCTTACGTACTGCAGTACTCTCATTACTTCAAGTGAACCTATTAGCTTGTAGTGTATGACCTTTGTTATACCAACAAGTATATTTACCAACATTTACTCATAGACGCAAAATTACATTAATACACAAGTGGACAATGAAAAATTGATAACCGCCAACAAAAGTTTGGCCTTCGACCAGTGTACAAGTAGCATACCTGTAATGACTGAACCCAGATTGCTTCCGCAATACTCGATACACTGAATTTTGCCAAAATGAAAAGATAATCTGCCAAAATTAAAGCCTGTAACGGTCCTTTACAAGTTCGTTACTTCGTTGACTGTGAATCGATTTCTCGAATACTCATCTTATTCATGTATTATGTGCAATACCACCCTTAAATCATGTGCTTCATTAATATATGAAACAACGAGAACTTAGAATCTTATCAATTCATGTGTTAACCAAGAATTTTAAACTCGTCCTTAATATAAATCATTTGCTCACCTGAGACATAGTACGATAAGATAACAATACCAGCACATGTCCATAGAAATCTATTTTTAAAAGTAGATATCAGACTAGGTTCGAGATTGATTCCATTTTAAGAGCCTGTTAGATGTTTGTTTCTGTCAGTTTATTGACTTGAATACAGAAGTTCGTCTTAAGACAACAATAGATTCAGAATACATGTTGGCTATCTATAGCGCCTGTCCAGCCTAATTTCTGTGTCTCATGAACGCATTAGACCTCCGATATCTTTTTCTATACTTTGAATGCGACTTTCTAATTCTAGCTTTTTCTGTTCTAATTCCTCGATTTCAATTTCTTCTTTCCTGATTTCCTCATCTATTCCAGACTCTCCAAATTCAGCAGGCAATTCAAATTTCGAAGACTCGTCATCGTTACCTAAATCTCCATGATTTAGACGTTCTAGTTGTCTTGTCTGCTTTTCTACTAACTCTTCATAATGTGGAAGGGCCCATAAAGTCTGTGCGTGGCGGCTCCGAAAATCCTGGACGCGTCCCACAACGCCAGGAACGCTGTAGACTGCGTTAAGTTTCTCGATTCCTCGCAGTAAGACGTCAATATTGATCTCATAGTTCCCATTACCTTCCATTTTTTTAACCTCCTGATGTAATTCGGGGCCTAAGACAGCTGCCACGGCAGCCTGTCGGCGAGGTGCACGCATTTTCGACTGAGTCGTAGTTACTTCTCCATGGGATACGTTGAAGACGGTCTGACGTCTAGACGTAGGTTTAACCAAGCCGGGGTTATTAAACGATGATACAGGTGTAGGGACTGAGAAGAGCGCACGTTCGTGAACTTCCGTATCTCGGATTAGGTTAGTGATATCAGGGGCCGAGAGGAGTGCATTTGTGAATATTTTTGGGGCGGGAAATCTGTGAATGATTAGTGATGGTGTTGAGGTGAGGGTCTACCTACGAAAGAGTTGCTATTGACTCAGCTGAAAGCGAAATTTGTTCAAGATGTTTTTCTAACAAAGACATTTTGTCTCGGAGTAAAGATTATTGATGGCTGCTCGTCCCGTTCAGGTGCTGAGAAAATAATAGATCGAAATGTAGCCGGGAAAGACATTCCCACCACCAATCAAATTTTTCAAACCCAAAGATCAACTTTGGCTTACCAGAAAGCTACGGGGTTAAGGTATTGTTTTCATAGTCATGGTCGAGGTTTCGGTTACAGGAGAATTAGACCAAGATGACTTTAAAACGCTAAGTGACAAAATACTTTGTAGGGACAAAACTCTCTACCTCTCTGCGATATCTAAGATGAACTCGGATGTGAAGTGTTATCTCTGATTCAAGTTGAGTTGAATTTCAGGACTGCGAAAAAGTTGGCACTAAAAGACACAAAATGATGCAGACGTCTCGGGTACAGCGTTGACTACCAAGAGCTCCCGGAAGCAGAAGCCCCTGAGGCCGGTTATTTACCCTACGGATTCAGGCGCAAGGATGGGGGAAAATCTCAATACCTGTTAGAAGTGTTCTATATACCTCTAGCTCTCACTGTAGTGTCTACAGAGCCGAGATTGAGTGACAAAATCTCCATTTCGAAGAGGATTCCCATTCGCATCCGCGTTTTGCATCGTCTTCATCTCTCACTACACCCCTATCGTATTCATGAAACTAACCACGATCAGATCAGATGTTAGGGTCGAAGCCCTCTTCATTACTCTCTCTTGATTATGAGGGAAGCCATCCTAAGTTTTCTAGAGCATACCCAGCAACCTATACGGCGATGGCGGACTTGTTAGAAGTGTCATCTTAAGTTACTGAGCACTGTACAAGGTGAGGCCTGAGTCAGAGATGAATGAATGAATGGTTTATTCGTGACGGGCACAAGCCCTGCACTCAAAGAGCATGACACGGAGAAAGCGAGTCCTTCTCCGACGACTCTATACGACAATAACTCAGTTTGAAATTTGGACTACTTATGTATTAGGTGCATTCGCTGATACCACTCGAGACCTTGGTGCTAGCGACTTTCACCCTTCCCTCAACCGTCAATATCCACCAAAGGGAAAACAGGAAAAACCTTTGGCTACCCTAACATGACTTAGTCATGTTGTATATAACGGCCGCGCGAGATATGGCCTCACAGTCCTCCCTTTCTCAAGTAAGGTAGGTGTCCAGGCTACCCAGACCTTAATTCGGGGAGATGAAGACCAGGAGACGGACCAAACCACTTTCCATCGTTGCCTGTTTTTAAGGTATCAGTTGCACTATCCTCAATCGTTGCCTCGGCGCCCACAGACATTCTTAAGTCAAAAATACTCGAAAAATGTGCGTCCCATTATGTCTATTTGTGTCCTCTTCACTTGTTTGTCCCACATTCCAGCTGACTGTCCTCTCTCAAGATGTGAAGCCCCATTAGAGCAACGGTTCCCGATAGACCAAGACCCGAGCTTTGTAGATCATGACTTAATTTCCTTGTCGTGGGTATACATAGCATCGTAGATATGTAGTGGGAGATGGCCGGTTTTTGAGGATGCAAATGCCCGATTGCAATTGGAGTAACGCCATTATCGGTATTTAAGGCGAGGTTGTGTGGTAAGATTGAGGTGGAGGACTCGTATGAAAATGATAGATCGGACGTTGACGACGAGTCGTCGGTTTTAGATGTGCTTGTGAGTGCCTTCGACTTCGATTTGGATGCGATGCTTCTTGGCCATCCCAGATATGTAGAGCATACTGAGCGATTACACCGACACCACTGGAAAATGAAGAATTCGTCTTTGGCCTGGGTCAGAGAGGTGTTCAGTGTGCTTGATAGTGTAATTCTTTAGTTGTAGAGTGAATCATACATACGGCCTATCTTTGCATGAATAAATATAAACCATTGGTACCTAATTTCACTAAGCCTTTTATGACATCCGTGCACACCAGCCTGATTGTGCATCTTGTCAGTCGTCAACTCAAGCCATTCGATCCTCTTTGGGCGAGGGAAACCCATCTATGCTTGCGAGGAGATAGCAAATTAGTAATTGGAGCAATTTTATTCTTGTTATCATTCTCACTGATACAGTTATGAATAACGGCCCTCAGGGCTCGCCAGCAAGCGCTGGGCAGACTGGTGCCCAGCAACAAGGCCAGCAGAATCAGCAGAATCAACAGGCCCAACAACAGCAAAGAAAGATTACACCCTTTCGTCCAGAACAAATGCGGATGTTACCCGAGCAGTTTTCTGTTGATGAGCGAACAAAATGGGAATCCGGATTACGATCTTTGTGGACGCAAATCGAGAAATACGCCCAGGATACACCTGCACATCAGGAGGCTAAGCGCAAACTTTTCGATTTTTCACGAACCCTTCAATCAAAGATCCAAAATGCTCAAGCCCAGAAAGGAACACAACCTCAATCTCAGTCACAGGTGTCAACTGCCGATGGAAGTAACGCAAGTGGAGTACCAAGGCAACAACAACAGCAACAACAACAGCAACAACAGCAGCAACAACAGCAGCAACAACAGCAGCAACAACAACAGCAGCAACAACAGCAGCAACAACAGCAGCAACAACAGCAGCAACAGCAGCAACAACAACAGCAGCAACAACAACAACAGCAACAGCAGGGAAAAATTTCACCTAAATTGATGGAGCATGTTACCAATTTTCCATACCAGCTTCCCCCAAATATACAGGCTGGATCTGAAGCTGCTCAGAAATGGCTTCTGACAGCAAAGAATGGATACCTCAAAGCACTGATGGCCCTCGAACAAAGTTCAATACGCTCAAGCGCGGTAGAAGCTGTACTTAAGACTAAAACTGTGGAAGGGAAGCCGCTAACCCAGGAAGATGAAAAAGAATGGATTGAAAAAAAGGAGCATGCACAGAAGCAAAATGCCGATGCAAAGGCTTATATCGATCATTTCCGCCAACAACAGAGCCAGTATAAGATTGCGAATTCGGGAGGACAGCAAAGTTCAACAACTCAACCAACTGGGACAAACAGCAATTCAAGCAATACTAGTCAGAGCTCTAGACCTCCTTTAAACTCCCAGCAACCGAACCCATTTACGCAAACTGTTAATGCAGCCATTGAGGCAGCTCGTAATCAACAAACCGGCGTGCGGAGATTACCTAATGGCCAGAGTTCCCAAATACCCAGTCAAGGTGCATCTTCGCAAATAAGTGCACCTGGCATTAAAGTTGAAGGCAACATTCCTCCGCCAATTAATACGGTTATCAGTCAAATACAAGGGCAGCAACGCCCGATGCAGAACTCGCCACAAACAGCGACAGCGTCTCGCCCTGGTGGAATCGCCCCATCTTCGGCAACATCACAGCAGATACCGCAACAACCACAGGCTTTATCACACTCGGATGCACTAGGCTTGGCCGCACGAACATATTCATCAAGTACCCAACCATCTGGCAATATTATGAGCCATTCACATCCATCCTCTATTGAAAAGCCTCGATCAGATCCCCCGGTCTCAAATAAATTACCCATACCTAAACACCTTCCTGATCGAGCTACTGCATTGCCTCAACCTGTATCAATGCCTCAGGGCCGCCCCTCACTTACTGGTGGCGCTTCAAATATTAGTAATGGAATGATAGGTCAGCCAGTATTGGCTAAAATTCCCGGCTTCAATATGGAGGGTGATGGTGATAGGGTTTTGAGCAAAAAGAAATTAGACGAATTAGTGAGACAAGTCACTGGTGGCGGACAAGGAGGTACAGATGGTGGAGATGGCGTCGGGAGCTTAGCTCCTGATGTAGAAGAGGTAAGTTCCTTATATTAGATGTGTTGAACTACAGAAATAATTGGTGATCCTACCACTTAGAGCTTGTAGTTTCATCTGTTATATCCATACAATTTCACCTATAACTCCAACCTGAGATAAGACTAACTGACTACCAGAATATCCTGCAAGTAGCCGATAACTTTGTCGACCAAGTATTACAAGCAGCTTGCAAAAATGCCAAGGAACGCGGAAGTCGAACTCTCGAGATCCGTGATATTCAACTTACTCTTGAGCGTGGCTATAACATCCGAATTCCCGGCTATGCCTCGGACGAGATACGAACTGTTCGCAAAATCCAGCCGGCACCCGGCTGGATTGCAAAAATGTCTGCAGTTCAAGCAGCAAAAGTTACGGGTGGCAAAAGTACCGATTAATTTCAGCTTCGTATAATTACTTCGAAACACTGACCAACCAATCCTCCAATAGGTGTGACACAGAGTATCATTGCTATAAGCTGATTTGAAAAGTCCAAGTATTTTATGCAAATTCTTTGTTACATCGGGGATTACTGGCGTCATGTTTATAATTCTGGGAGTACAATTGGTGTTTGGAGATAAGCTTTAAATATTTGTGCTGCCAAGGTGGAATACAAGATTGATGATATCGAGCAGAGAGAGGAAATCAATACATAAATTTTAAAAAATTCTGCCCCAAGTTTGTTCACTCAGTACCCAACGATTCAAAACGGAATATGATTTTCTACAGGTGAGCTAGAAGCTGTAATAAATAGAAATTCTTATAAATCACTCTAGTCCTTATAGCTCATCAATGCGGTACAATTGACAATGAAGAAAACATAATACTAGACCCTAAACCAGATCCTCGGTATAGGTTCAATTTTGTACTAACCAGCTCCTAGCAAAATCTTATTTCAACTAATAATTTTTTATTTTTCGGAAAATGAGATGGCACCGAGCATCATACCTTTCCTGAAAGTTTGTCGATTATGTATAAATTAATGTGCAAGGTGATGGGCACTCGATGTGTTCTTTTAGAAATCTCACCACAAGATGAGACGTCTAGACAAGTCAAGCTGCCGTGGAATACATAAACTTTCATTCCCCTTTTTTAAATAGATTACCTCAGAGGCACTCTTTAATGGAAGTACGCCAAGTCCAATCGTCCTGAGCACCCAATTTCTACGCGCGGAAGCGTATATTCTTCCTCATCCTGAGAAATTATCTACTAGACTCCAACACCTACAACCTTCAAATCTTTGCCACGTTTGAATACTGGCATTGCTTCATCTCATCATGGAATTGATTTATTAGATAGAGGTCTCTTTCTTTATAATCATCTGGGTGTATTCGACCATCTAGCCATGACAAATGATCAGTGCTATGTGTACAAGTGTGACTCTTCTGACTTTAGAGACACTTAAATTCTGGATTTTATTACTCAATGCCACTATGAAGTATGTTTACTTTCATAAACAGTCGACCCTCCTCCGTAATTACACATCAAAGGGAAATTCAAACCCTTTGATTATCCAAGCATGCCCTCGCCATCCATGTGTCACGAAATAAGACGATGTCCTTATTAATAGATAGATTGATCACGAAGTTACAAGGAGTCCAAGAGGACCATTCTACTTATTGTACCTCGCTTATTTGTTTATGCTAACCGGCTTAGTCAGCTAGGGTTAAACGTGGCGCCATGCTCACCTGCACCGCGAGAAATGTGATTGAGATGTACTGAATTCAAACCAGCGATATCCTGTCTCAAGTGGGGTATTTGTCCAAGCCTTCCAGAATATGAGAGGTCTCCTGTGTTTCTATCATCTTTTCCCCCTCAAAAGTAGCATCCTCATTTTCTGCGTGTCAATCTCTCCAAATTTAAGACTTGAATATTTTCCAGCCCTTCGATCTGGCTTTCTAGCTGCTATATCCTTAACCATAGCGGCCACTTACGCGTATGTGAGCTCAAGATCAATGTGACAATATTTTAAGTTTTTTGTATACCCTGGTTAAATTCCCAGCAAAATCTCGTACCTACATCATCGGTGACAATGCTTCACAAGTCGGGGTTTCGATTCAATGCAAGCCTACACATTGTCAAGGGATAGAGTGGATTGCGTTACGGTATGGTCGCGTTCTATCACGCGTCTGATGCGCAATTCATGATGTATCTATATTTATAAGACTCAATAGGGGTCACCATTCCTCTTTCTAGACAATCTCAATCACCAGATTAGACCTCGTCAATCTATCCTATGACCTTTACCCTGACACAATTCTCCCTTTCATCATGTAGTCAAAAACTCTTCTTTGCTATGTTTTGGTGTTGAAATTTTGGGCCAGATGAAATAACTCAACCCCGGGTTAATAGAGTATTTCATTATTGGGCGCTTATACCACATCTTCCTCCCTAGGAGGCTGTATCGATGTAAACGGAAGAAAACTAGATAGGGTCTTGCATAGGGACTTGAGAAATACGGAAGAATTGAGCTCTATTTGCATCCATTTTAGAAAATTATAATTATAATCAAGGTCTGTAACGATAACTTCTAGTAAATGATCATCCAAGATCTTTGAAAAACTTTGTTGTTTCAATGCTAGTACTAACCAGTCTAGTCCCACGGCAGACTGGTTCGTAGGAATATTGGATAATCCCAAATTACAAGAATGGCAGATGGAGGTGAAACCAGGAAATTAATGAAATGCAAATAACAAATGATTTGATTTCATTTAGCCCGTTCAGGTACCCTTAGGGCCCATGCAGATATATCTAGCTATAATATTTATACAGTAGGAAACCAAATTCGGTAAAAACCGCCCACAACTGTCTGTCTCGTGTCTATTGGTTTTCCGAGGTTTCCTACAGGAAGTGCGTTTACACTGTTCATACAGTGTGAAATCCGTTTTATCCTTGTCCAGATCGTTTTATCTTTTCGTCCAATGCTATTTCTACTTCTCCTGCAAGCTGGAATTGTTCAAACTAGTCTTTTGACAGGATCCATTTCGTAATTCCCTCCATATCATCTGGGCTGTTCATCAATGCCGCATATGACCTATCTTTTGCCTTTCGAAGCACCTCTCCTCTTCCCATAGCCCACTGAAGACACGCCAAGACCATATGTTTGACATTTTGAGACGGATATTCACACTGGCATTTTGGATTAATCACTCCGGGGACTTTCCTTCGATACAGATAAGAATTGAGATCAATGTGCTCACTTATCTGAACTGCAATACTGCTTTGGGCCCTACTAAGTTTCCGGTGGATATGTGAGGGTGTGTTTTTATATGTAATCCTTTTTCTGCCTGTTGTCTCATCTGTAAATTTGCGGCCTTCCGAAATAACAAATGATTAAAAATATTCTTAAATGATATATAATAATTCTGTTGAATATCTTTATGACTCTTTCGGACCGGCTTCATGGACCAAGACCTGTATACTTTTTATTTTATTTTTAGTTATATTTTAATCAGCTATCTCGCTATTACGAAATTAAAGTTATTTATATTTCAAAAGACTCAAGCTCTGTCATCAAACAGTATCTCGATTTATTTTACTGTTATGATTCCCTTAATTTGCTACTTTGTGATTGGACACGCTCAAATACATAGTAAAAAGCTTTATTTCTGCTCCTGGATAGAAGACGAATTGGAAGTGTTCGAGGCTCTGTTATCTTGAAGGCTATCCCTCTTCTCTTTTCGCGGTATCCACAAAACAGTACTGGATGCTGTAATAAAAACCGCGAATGCCGTAGTAAGGAAAATGTTGCATTTTTTAATTTATTTGTATGCTATTCGTATCAGGCATATGCCATACACCTGATAGGCGTGATACGGGTATGTGATATTTACAGACTCACCACTACCTACGTGCATGGCTTTATTTGCCATAGAAAAGGTAGCGTTGTTGTGCATATACTAACACATAAGCTATCACGTGATGGAAAAGACTAACTGGCACAGAAGTACTGCTTGATTTCAGATTCTTGCAGCCCAGGGGAACACCTGGTTTCAAAGTGGTATTAGATTCTTCAATTAATCCTACAAGCTCCAGAGATCTATTTCGGTCCTCTTTAGCAGCAATCAAGTTGTTAGGCTATCTTCCTGCCTATTACGAGCATCTGTGCTAGAGCCTCCTCGACGGACGAGATTCTAAGCTTTACATCGCTTAACATCCAGGAACTACCTTCGTTCAACGACATCATTCTTAAGTCACACGGTTTCACCACCTATCTTGAGCAGCCATTTGAGCCAAACTGTACTCCTCATTCATAATTGGCGACCTGAGTCGCAGATAATTCATCATGCCCAGCAAAACCCCTCACAGAAATAAGAAGAATTCAACTGACAAAGGACCCAATGGCTCAAAAGACGTTGAAATGAAGGACGAAGCCCAAGCTGCACAAAAGGGAAATCTAAAGAAAGGTAAGGGATCTGAAGAAAAGATGACTGTTGTCGTGCAGCCAAGTAAGGCCAGCAAGTCTTCAACCCTGCCGACCAAAAATACTGAGGATGACATGGTAATGGATGGTCTTGAGAACCAATCTGTCGATTCCATAAATGTTACCAAACCTGACCCAACAATCAAAGTTGTTGCTGGTAAGTCAACAATCATTTCAACCGAATAGAAAATTATTTCTCTGGAATAACACTAATCACTGGTGACCACAGATATCAAGAGCTCCTTTCCACTCTTGGAACGTGCAGTCACCTTATTTGATGCTAGATTTACTCTTCGGGCCTTAAGATCGATTTCTTCTATTCGCAAACGTCTCTCTCCTGATATTCTTGCGCAAGTAATAATCGAAACATATCCTCCGAACAGCGCTGTCGCAAAGTCCTTGTTGGTAGCTATTGATAGAGAATACGCGACTTTTAAGTCCAACAGTAAAGACATGGATATAGACTCAGACTCCAAAATTAAGTCTGGAAAAAAAGAACCCAAAGAAGTCATCCCGGAAATAGATATCTTCCTCGGAATTCTGATCCAAATTTATCTTCTGGATAATAAAATTATTCCAAGCGGCGCTCAATTTTCTGCCTCTCTCGCCGAATGGCTACATTCTCTAAATCGTCGAACGTTAGATTCGCTCTCCGCCCGTGTATATTTTTATTATTCTCTTTTTTGTGAACAGATGGCACCCTTACCTCCATCTCCTTCATCTCCAGTTATTTCTAACAGAACCTCACTGCTAGCTGCCTTACGGACAGCTGTTCTACGAAAAGACATCGACACTCAATCTACGGTAATCGTTCTTTTGCTCAGAAACTACCTTTCAACATCCCATATAGGTCAGGCTGACTTACTCGTGTCACACACTCAATTTCCGGAGAATGCATCTAATAACCAAGTTGTAAGATTTGCCTACTACCTTGGTCGTATTCGGGCTATACAATTAAAATATACAGAGGCTCACTCTCATCTAACTGCTGCCGTTAGAAAGGCCCCGACAAGCCCCTGCGCGGCAGGATTTTCGCAGAGTGCACAGAAGCTTCTTATCATCGTAGAACTACTAATGGGAGACATACCTGACCGTGCTACTTTCCGTCTTTCAAGTATGGAGCGGGCCCTTCAGCCATACTTTCTCCTCGTGCAAGCTGTACGAGTGGGCCTCTTGGACGAATTCGAGATTGTTGTTCGAAAGTATAGTGAAACTTTCCGACGAGATGCTACCTATACCCTAATACTTCGCCTGCGACAAAATGTCATTAAGACTGGAATCCGAATGATGTCTCTAGCCTACTCACGAATATCCCTCAGAGATATATGCATTCGTCTTAAGCTTGAAAGTGAGGAAAGCGCTGAATATATTGTCGCGAAAGCAATACGAGATGGTGTTATCGAAGCAAGCTTAGATCGCGAACGAGGATTCATGAAAAGCAAAGAAATAGGTGACGTCTACGCTACAAGTGAACCTGGAGATGCATTTCATGAACGAATCCGTGCTTGCCTAGCTCTACATGATGAGAGCGTTAAGGTATATTTCCCATAATTCCTACTCAGCATTAGTTGAGTATTTGTAATCTTCTAAACACTACTAATTCCATCTTCAGGCTATGCGATTTCCCATGAACCAGCACCGATTGGAATTGAAGAATGCCCAAGAAGCTCGTGAACGCGAGCGTGAAATGGCTAAGGAAATTCAGGATGGAGAATTAGATGAGGATGATTTGGGTGGCGATTTTGAAGGGATGTGAAGAATTCTAGGACTGCAGATTTTTGACTTCAATCAAGATCAAATTTCACTGCGTGTCAGAACTTCAAATTCCTATCTCCCCGAGGATCGCCACATTGTTTTGTGAGCTATGAGCCCTGTAGACTAGCTTTTCTAGCGTAGTCTGGCTCTCATGTGCTGTTTGCTACGATAATTGTTCGATCACACCCTTGTATTCCTTAACATTTAACCCATATATGGGTTGAACTTTGGTATTTTCAATTAAAGTAAAATATTTGTTGTATCGAAACCGCTATTCACACTTTCTTTTTAGCATTTGCAGTCACGGATTGGGAGCGAAGCTTGAAAACTAAGCTCTGTCAGAATATGAAGTTCATTTTAGGTAGAGCACAAATTAATCAACATTACTTCATGTTACTGTGAAATTATGCGAATTTAGAAAAGATTCATAAGGTAAGAATATATCCACTACCACGATAAGAGAAGCATGGCGATACAAGAAGACTATTTGTATTAGTTTTGTTTCGAGGGACTTCTGTACCCTACAATCATTTTCTTCGGGACAATAGACGACAGGGAGGTGGCAAAAGCTTAACATCTGTCAGTGGTGTCCCCTAAGAACCTCCAACTCTCACTGTGGTGAAGTCTACAGATCGTAGATTGAGTGACATCCTTTCAACTTTGAGCTGGGTTACCTTACCCTCTCTCAAAGATAAGCTTCCTATAACCCATAAGACGACGATAATGATCCTGGGCATGAGGAAAGATAATGCGGTACCAAATGCTACAACGGTAGCCATGCAAGTCCTCGTATTATAACATATGCTACCTGTTAAAATTATTAATATAATTATCGAAACATACATGTAACGTCACTTATAGTACGGGTCTGGGTTAAACTAGTACTGCTTGAGACCCTACATAATATGCCTAAGGTATAAAGTATAGTATGTGAAATTGTTACCCTAATATCGATATACACGTCAAGTTGTATGGTTTGAAATAGATTGTTATATTCTAGGTCTAGAATATTGTAATCCGTGTTTAACGGTTAGATAGAAGCTAATACTAGAGCCCATAACTTATCATTGAGTCATCTATCCTACTCTTTGTTGATTAGTACAAAAGCTCCATTGTATTGCGTTCATTTTTAGGATTTAGAATAATAGGGGCTATTAAGTAGGCCACGTTGTCGATACACATGTAACTGTAGATTCTGTACTTAGTCTCACTTCGATAGTTACATGACTCAATGAGCTCTACAACTTCAACGACTGAGGGGCCATTATTACCTTGATACAATTCAAATATGGAGAGCTAAGTTCTACATATTAAGCCAGATATATGTGTAGGTTTATTACAGTTTAAGTTTTTCCCTCTTAGATCAGCTCTCTTTTAGATGATTCCAGTTGCTACTCCTAGGTTATCTTTCCTGGCAGCTTCTTCGAGGTTCAGTCTCAGTCTTACTCACGTGGGGGCTTTTGTAGTCCCTCCTTCATAGATTCTAGTATCTTCTGTAGGGCTTATGCGCCTGCCCTATCCCTGGTGGTTGCAAACCTGTACTTGCCATTACTGGCTACAGGAAAATGCCGGCTTTGTAGTCATTACAGATAATTAGCTGACAGCCACCACAACTTCGCAGTGGTACTTGCAAATGAAATCTGAGGCATGAGTGCTCTTCCTTTACGATGAATCATCTATTCTATACTTTTCTTTGATATTGTGTCATAGCTAGATAGATGCATACGCAAGTAAAATCTGATGCAAAAGAAAAATAGTAATAATAATTAGTTGTACATAAGGATGCTGGAGCCACCCCAAAATACTTCTCTAGCTTCATAATCTTATAATCTTGTATTGGCATACTCTTCGCAGTCCCACTTCTTTCTCACCGTGGTACTTGGTCAGCTGCTCGTCTCTCTCGTCTGCACCACATGGCATCTCGCTAGTTCAGTCCTCCATAGATTTCACGGATCAGTAAGTCTAAAACTAAAAGCCAAAATATCATGAAGCAAATGGGGGTTGGATCGTCACAGGTAAAGTCATCTTAGCTTAATCAGGAAATGAGTTATGCAAGTGGTCATTCAGGGACGACTAAAGAGAGCGATGAGGAGAATTACTTGCACAGCATCATCAATGCGAGGAAATGGGAAAGTATCTCTCATATTTAATCCAGGCTATCAAATGCTTCTTCCTCTGTATATAATGGGTCAGCGTGTAAGAGGTTTCCTCTTCACGCAATGTCTTCTTTATTTTTTACCCTCACAATACTTCTGTTTACCCATCTCTTCTTCTGGAAGACCAATTATCTATTTTTAAGCTCTTCATCAGCAAGGCTTACATGTAACCTCGACCGCAATTATCTGCCTATTCATCTCTTCTCAGAGAAGACCCGCCATCCCTTGGAAAATTTTATTACTTTTACTTACCCTCTTGACCTTCACTGGACCGTATAACGCCCGCTGTGATACCGTCCAAACCTTATCTCTAAGAATACATTATCTTAAGTATTAGACTCTAGTACTAACTAGGACACCTTCGGCAAACAGCGATCTTGATTTAACCCACGGCACACAGTAATATTCAGGGAGAATGATGAACTTCATTTGCTTTCGATATTCTGTTTGACACAAGCTTCTAGATATCTTTTACCACGGTATTTAGGAGTGCGATTGACCGGTAGGATTTAATGTAATCATACGATTTCTTTTGTGGCTTTTGTAGCACAATTGTTACCGACTCTTTGAAATATTTTTGATGGTAACCGTTGGAAATACAAGCGCTGAATAGTTTTCCGACTTCGCATAGAGTTATTCTATAGTTTTTAAGCATCCAGTTTGGAATACCATCCGGGCTAGGAGCATTTCCGCTTGCTAGATTTGCTATGTGTGACGAAACCAAGCTGGTTGTAGTGTACTTTTAGAAAGATTAAACTATATGAAGAGAGAAGTACCACAACTACGGGCAATGACTATTTGTACATCCTTCTGGCTCATCCAGTACGTACTCTGTTGGTGAGAATGACATATTGCTCCGCCATTGCCTGTCGTCATCTTTGCCATCTAGCTGACTCTCTCACTTGACAATTCTACTTCGCCGTCTCACATTCCTTCCTGGCTCCAATGTAATGTGGCCAAGTGAAACTTAGTCGCTTGATACAAGATAATATGTAACACTCTCCCCAATACGCCCCCAAACTCCGCTTAGGTCTCCACCTAAGCCAAATCACGGTCAAACCGTAACACTATGGTATCTTGGATCTCGATTTTGGTGATGGTGCTTGAGATAGTGATTAGTTGTTCGGATATCTTGTCCCTTCCATATCGTCTTGATGGGCTTGAATAGGCTGGAGAAAGAACTGTTGGGCCAGTATATCCGCTTTGTCGGTGCCTTTAGTGAAGAAGTTCCCGTTTTTATCTTTTCTCTCAGGAAGGTGTGAGATTTCACAGCAAAAATATGCGAAAGTCACGTGATCGTATGGAACTAACTCAGATCGAGAAGGCAATTAATCATCAAAAGACCTCTTCGTAAGCGATGGAACACATATCGCGTATGCTGGATCCGCCAAAGAATCTCGCCAGAACTTTCCGAGGACATCATCCTCCCACCGCCGTCGTCACCCTGTGAAAAAAAGCTAATAGAAATTGGAGCAGTAGGTAGACTCTTGGGACCAAATCTCTTCAAACAGTGGCAGGCTACACGACCCACCCTAGACTTGTTCGCATTCGCAGACGGAGCTCTAATAGAAGATCGAGCAAGTGCGGGTTATGTCATCTATCGAGGTCTTACGCAGGAGATTGGGCAAGGATCACTCCCGCTCGGAAACTCGGCAGAAGTGTATGATGCTGAAATTGCTGGGGCCATGGGAGGTCTTGCAGCAGCTCTTCGCAACCCACTGGCCTATTATGCCTCTAATTTCACTGTCTGCCTTGACAACCAGAAGCCTGCCAGCCGTCTGCTCTTGGATACTCCCACAGCGTCCAGCTCGGTAAAAATATTGATCTTTCGCGAGCTCACAATGAACTGGAAAAGAAGATCACGCGATCAAAATACGACGCCTGGGGAAGTGGCTATCCCATGGTGCCCAGGCCACGCAGGTATTCTCGGGAACGAAGCAGCCGACGCGCTTGCCAAAGCTGCCTGTGCAGCTCCAGCTCTACACTTAGAACTCTCCATTGCGAGAGCAAGGAGAGAAGTCAAAGTCCAATATGAGGCTTCTCTCGCACTCTACCGGGCAGAAAATGCACCTTCTAGGTACAAAGAATTAGGTATTGGTCCTGATACTAAGATTACTGCCGAGCACGCCTGTCTAGGGCGATGCACATTAGGATATCTTCTAGCTGCACGATCTGGACATGGTGATTTTGCAGACTACCATTGACGGTTTTGGCACGAAAACACCATCTTTACCTGCCCATGCGGAGAAGAGAAGTCCCCCAACCGCTCTTTCTATTGCCACCTCGGGCAGTACCAGGCAGAGCTCTACAGGGCGTAGATCTTCAATCCCAGCATATCTTGGGATCTTGCTACAGCGAAGGGAGTTCATGCATTTAGTAGCTGGGTGCGAGACACAAACTTTTTTGGAAAAGCACAACGACAATTCTGACGAGAATAAAGTCATGCAACGAAAGCGAGAGAGCTTTAAAGCGACGCAACCAATTTTCCTCTTTACTAATTTTATTTCTTTGCTTTGTATTCTCCATGTAATAACATCCGAAAAACATGAGAGACAACGGGAGGCTGATATTCATGTTAAATTAAATCTTCGAGCACAGGATAATAAGATCCTGGATTTCATTTGCTATGTTGGGTCTATGTAGGCGCCAACACGTCGGGTAGTTTTATACAGACTGTGCTAACCGGTACGTGAGGAGCTCACGTGCTGTGCGCGGGCACGAAGTTAAATATTATAAATAAATAATCATCAAAAGAACTCACAACTTCATTCTTTACTACTGCATAGAGATTCTGATTTTAATATCTATCCCCTGTTGTTGATCTACATCTTGCCTATGAACTGTA